TGGAAAGAAGGAAGAAGGGGATGGGAAGGAGGACGTCTGATCAAGAACTTTTGAGATTTCGCCCTTTCATTTCTCTCAGCTAAGGAGTTCACAGTTCCATCTAATCATTACTTTCGAGTTTTTGTTTGAATGCTATTTCTGCTATTTCTTCGAAATACTTTATTAAATGATCTGGAGGAGCTTGTGAAAAGAGGAATAAGCAGCAATCTCGTCCAGAATGTTGCCGAATTCATCATGTTTGCAGTGCAAATGCATTTGCATCTAGACTTAAGCACTTCCCCCGTGCTCCAACTTTGCAAAAACGATTAGCACACTCTAGTACTCTCGTTACACAAATCATTTTTTGCCATTTCTTGCGGAAACACTTAGCCTAGAGTACTACTGAACGTTTCATACGAGAAGGTAGGGCTGCAATTTCGATGAGCTGCTCTTACGACTCCTCCCTTCCCCCCCCCCCCCTCCATTTGCTCAAAGCTATTCGCCCTCTTTCGCTTCAAAGAGCTTTCTTTTGCGACGATCCACTTAACCTTCACATTCTGGATAATGTGCGACCGAGAAAAAACTTTTGTCTTGCTTGAGTGCTCTTTGCTGCAAGCGACATTTGTGTAAAATAGTTTTACAACGATTGTTTCATATACCTGGCCTATTTCATAGGGGAAAATCGTGAAAATTTAAGACACTTATTTTATTTTTTATCTGTTTATTGATACATCATCAAGAGGCGAGTGCTATTATGCAAAATTTTAGTGAATACAATATTTATTTTTTTGATAGTGAACGATCTAAAAACACATGATTCGGCACCCAGTTTCGACAGTGACTCCACTGTAAAGTCCGATATATTCGATTTCTTTACGAATTGCTCCGAACAGAATTCTTGTGCAACTTTGCTTATATCATAGCGAAGAAACCGGAAATATTCTTAAAGTTACTCCGATTAATCTTTCAAAGATTCATGCTTCTCAAAGCATCCGGTTGACAATATCTTATCCTGTCAAAAATTTAGAAAAAAAATTTTTCTCAATTTCTTTGCCCAAAGCTTCCCAGTCGCGATTGTTTAGATCCAAAGTAATTTATCCCTACTCAAAAAACATTTTCTCACTTTTTGGAGAATATGTGCGATTTCTATTTTTGACTGTCAAAAAAAAATAGAATGAAAGATTTATATCATATATTTTCAGACTTATCATTACTTCCTAATAGCAAATATAAGTTATATATAACTATAATTAGATTACAAATATAATTCAATGATTCATCCTTCAATAGCAAACTTAATGAGAACATTTGAAAATTATAAGTTGATTTTCTTAGTCTATAGCTGGAGGACAAAAGGATACTTTTTTTTAACCATTTTTGTCTTTCAAAATTCTAAACTCAGCTTGATTGAAATATTACACTTCATTTTAGCTTCCACAATATTTGACTTTGAATCAGTAATTAACTCTTTTCTCAGCACCAACTAAAATATTCTATGAAAATTGCTTTGGCAAAAAGTGGAAACTTACTGACTCGGGTATATTTCTCGCTTTCAGCTGCAAAACAAAGCACTGCATAAAAAGCACACTTTGATCCCATCAATTCTCACAAAACCTTCAATTTATACCTTTTGCAAAAGCTATTGCTTTTTTCTCAAGATGAATGAGGTAGTGGGAGTTACCGTAACTCATCCCGCCCCAAGCGAAGGTAGATATAAGATAGGAAACCCTCAGTTTCACCACTTTGTAGATCTAAACCGCATTATTTATGAAACTTACATGAATTTCTGCGCAAATAGCATCCGGACCTGCAAACCATCTCCTTCAAATGGAATTGAAGCTGAATTTAGGCTTCAATGCTAATTGTTCTAGCTTTGAAAATTTTAAGTAGAGAACCAGATTTCAAGTTTTTAGGTAGTGCACCTCCTAGTGTACATCTACCGTAATCTTACAGTATGGCATCACTTAAGAAGTGCTCCTCATCTATTAATATTTCGATACGCACTAGTCTTCATCTCGGCTTGATTTTTCTACTTAGAGCAAATAGAAACCACAGCAAATATACAGGCTCCAACCGTACACCCTATAACTTCACCCTGCTTCCCGTATGCTATAGATAATCCTGCAGATACCACTATAATATATGTCTGTTTTTATCCAAATGTTGTTCAAAACATTCCAGCCTTTGTCTGTGCTAGAACCACTGCAAAAGTACAGGTCATTCATAAAATCGTGTTGACGGACCTGACTGCGGTCTTTGCGCTCGCAAGAGCAAAAAACGCTCATACAAAAAGCATCACCTCAACTCTCAACTCAGTCACGTCTTATGTCTAAATATGTACTACCATACTTAAGCAGAAAAACCATTCGAATAGAAACGGAAACCGAGGGGGTTGCCGGGAGTGCGTGCGTGTTGCGCGCGTCGCGTCATTGTCAGGATTTTTCGAATGCTCTTTGCACGGATTCGGACAGTGTACTTCCTACCGTATACCTACCGTAGTAGCACACTACGCAACCTAATACATACATGGAGAAACAGCTCAAGCTTTTGCTTTCTAATCAACACTCAAAAAATGCATTTGTTCTTAGCAGAGTACCTCCTACCGTACACCTATCGTACTCTAGAGTAATGCTTCACTGTATCTTTCATCCAACTCATGCAGTTGAGCAGCAACTTCTACCTATGCTAAAAAACCACTGCAAAACTACAAGATCCACGCAGAAATGCGCTTCCTAGCGTATCCTTATAGTAAGCCACGCTTTGGCTGCAAGTCCCTCCGAATAAAAAAAATCTTTTTGCTGAAAGGCTTTACTGCTTGATTCTCTTACATATTGAAAAGAGCAGATTGAAGCCATTGCAACCAAAGTTTCCAAGCAGTACACCTCCTACCGTATACCTACCGTATTTATGCACATTGCATTGCTGTGGCCTAGTTTTTTCTTAATTCTAATGCTCAGTTTGTAGCTGTATTGGAAAATCACTGCAAAATCTCATGGATAAAACAGCATACTCTTACCGTAACAGCATAACATCACTGTAATATTTGGATTACATCTATTTATAGCTCTTCGGGGGCCCAGCCTATATATCTGCTGGAACAACAGTTTAAAATTACAGTAGTATATTTGCTAGCGTGCACAGTAGGCTACCACCCCAATATAGGCTCCAAACAGTTTATCTCCTATTGGTAATCTACCGTATCCCTACTGAATAAATGTAAACATATCCATCATCTGTCTTATCCCCGCCGAAAAATTCTGCAAAATCACAAGAGGTTGCAGTGCACCTCTTACCGTATGCCTACCATAGTTCTACAGTACGCGGTCACAATAGTAAATGCATTCAACATCGGTTTTGAACCACCATCCTCCCTTAGCTATCTTTTTAATCGCATTTATTTATACTCAAATTTGGACCAACCTGATGCGCCTAATCAGCGCTCCGTACTGAATGTTCATTACACTTCCAAAGCCGATTATAGTGCATGTGTGCAACCAGTTGAATGGCAACAAAGCTGCAAAGAACTAATGGACTTTCATTGTGAAAGTCCATTTCTGCTTCCTGTGGGGGAGCCTTTGTTGACTGAAAAATGTTCTCGACTTCGTAGGGCATTTCAATTATCGACCTGGTTGTTTTTCCCCACTTCTGTACAACGATCTACGCAGTCTTTGACTTTGTGCAATTTTTCAATGGATTGCCCATTATTTTCTAGGCTTGGATTTTACTCATATTTTCATTCATTTATTCAAATATAGATCCACAATGTCACAGTGATCATTATTGTACAAGACTGCAAAGCCTTCTAGAATAGAACAATAAACTAAAAGTATAACTCAGAGTGTGATTAATAAGTAGAAAAACCTAGGATTTGCCGACGGTCTACTGCTTGTAGAATCATGAAGTGTTTTTGTCTTGGGTAAAATATTCTGGGATTCCTCAACAGTGATTCAAGAAGAATTTCTCTATTTTTCATGCGAGGAGTGCAAAATGTAAGGTTGTTTACAAATTTTGCACCAAATTTTCGAATAACATCAGTTTTTTTCTGGTTTTTATGTACATTTGATAAAAAGTATTTCAGATAAAAAATCGTGTACTTTTTAAATGTTGCCTTTATCAAAAATACATACTCACGTCTATGAAGATGCAAGTTCACAAATGTAAGTGGACAATTTATTTTTCATTTGTATCGTCGCTAAGAATGAAAGCCCAACAAAACCTGAAAATTTGATTTTAAATTTAGACTTATAGTTTTTGAGCAAATCCGTGTTGAACATAACCCAAGAACCCATGATTTTCGAGATTTTCAGTTTTCATTCCTATCTTTTACCTTCCAGAATATGCATAGTAATCAAATTAGAACATGTTAGAAAAAAGAAATAATTTGATTCCAAACCTGTTCTGAACATCAAGCTCATTTTCTAAATTGCTATAAGACTTATGGACCAATCTAGGACTAGGATTTATATCTCTGCTCCTACAAAAAAACGTGAAACAATTTTCGCGTTCGATCGTAATGATTAGGAATTGCCTAAAATTACAAATACTGATTTTTTTATTTTGTAGATCCATTGGTGTGAAATCTTCCAAGAAACTATAAATTTTTTATTTCAAAGAGTGACGCGATTTTCCCAACATTCGTGCATCTTTGAGTCCTGTCACAACTTAGTAGTGCAAAGAAACTATAGCATAACATCAATGACAAATGTCACCGAACGCAAAAAGCATGTAAAGAGTCACATTGAGTGATTTGTTATTTCTCTGGAAATCGAAAAACTTCGGCTAGAGTGTTTTTCGCTTTTCTTTGCTGCTTTGTGGTGGCATTTGTCGACCTTGCGGGTGACAAATCACCCGGCATCAAAGTCACATTCGTCCTATGTGGTTATGTCATTCTATATGATGATATGTTACTCTACGATTTACTGGGCTCCCCGGGCTTGCACGGGGATCCCATTCATGTTCTCGCCATATTTTCGCTTCCTAATAATTTTGTGGAAGATTTTTTCCCATGCATTTATTTTCCAGACTCCACTTAGCTGCCAATTCTCTATCTCTAGGCTATCTTTCTTGCGTCCCAGACAACACTGCCATATAAAGAAATGTTTAGGACTGTTAGGGTAAGTCATTGAAGATTTTCCAGGCAGTCTGGGCACTTGTAGTCCATTTTAGTGTTTATTAGGCCTTGGCTAAGCCCTTGACCAAGTAGTGGCTCACGACGTTCATTCAAAGTCAAGAAATTCATCTGTAAAGTTATGCCCAGTACCGTAGTTTATCGGCATTCGCTCGGCAAGAGTACGGTACTAGGCGAGAGTTTAGAGTTGCACTTCTCAGCCAAGAGTGGTTTATATGAGATGGAGCGCCTCAGAACTAGATCCTCTAGTTCATTCAAATTCAAAAAATCTAAGTTTGAACTTTTGCCCAGTACCGTACTCCATTGATCCGCTCGGTGAGAGTGCGGTACTGGACAAGAATTTGGAGTTGAATGTCTGGGCCATAAATGAGTCATTTGAGCTGAAACTTGGAAAATGGTTTAGATCGGGCTTCCCAATCACTTCTCACTCAAGAACCCGAGTTCCTCGATTTGCTTGAGCATTGTCTTCCCCTGCAAGAAAATATCTATCCTATATTCAGTCGCATGATGGACGTGTGGAACTAGACGAGATCAAAGCAACCTGTGATAGACATGCCGATCTCTGCCAACAATATGCTAAGTGCAGTTTGGATTTGCAAATGAACGACGCACAACTGGAAATTCTCTCGGAAACAGCGGAAAACCTACGACAACGTCACGCACAGATTCGAAAGAATATCGATGAAAAACCGCGTAAGTTTCGCAGCTATCACTTTCACACATTTCTTTTGAATGCCTACGACACAAGAGACATCGATGCTTAATCAAGTCTTACAGGGGAATGGCAGTCTCAATATTTTTTTAAGGAGGAAGAGGTGAGAGGGAAATATCTCCTAAATCTGGCCAAAACGTCAGCATCAACCCCGCCCCCTAACGAAAACAATTTCGGATGCTTTCCATTTTTTCGAGGTTTATACACATAAATTTCTTGAAAAGGTCGTGCTTTAGAGAGAACTAGGAAAAAGCAAATTGATCATTTATAAATAAAAGTTTTTACAATAGGCCACATCATATTCTTTCCTCACAGATGAGCAGCTTTACTACTACTGGACATCACGAATCAAATACACCTTATTGGAGGAGGGGGGATGAAAAATATAATTTTCTTCTGATTGCCCTGGCGGTGGTAGTTACACCATACAAGGTAAACTAAAAGTCTTTCATATTCTTCTCTGTTAGTTTGGGTTTCCAAAAAAACAATTCTTCAAGATATAAACCTAATTCGAAAATCTAGCAAATCTATATTCCTAGCTCAAAGATGGCCTTCTTACCCCACCTAGGTGAGGTTTTGCACTGCTGCATTTCTAAGTAAAAAATCTACAGCCGCCGTACCTTTCCTGGTCCAATTCACCACCAAAAAAAACAAGTGATCTAAGCAAAACCGCATTATGTGAAAATCTCACACGTCATTCCAAAATACTCATCACTTACTTTTGCACCTCTGTCATAAATACTTTGTACAGCTTTGGTATCACGTGGACTTTTTGACAGCAACGTCAGTTTTTGCCTGCAAATTGCGTAAATTTTATTGCTTCCCACAAAACAACTGCCGGAAGTGCAGTTGTAGAAAAAATATTGTACGCATTCTGACCAATGTGCAAGTGGATTCAGCAAAAACTTTTCACTTTTTTCGAACATGGTTCCTCAGTCATTTCTGAAATGACTATGAAGTAAAGAAATGAGAAAATAATCTCGAAAGTTACTGTTCTGAAAATTGAAACCATCACAGGAGATCGGGTAGAGGAACGAAGGCCTCAAGTTTGAGCCGCCATTCGCGGCCAACTGATCCTTTCGCATGTTTTTGCATGTATTATAGTTGCAGGACCAGTAGTCCGCGGAGACGGCCCAAATCTGCGGCTTTCGTTCCCCTACCTCAGAAGATCTGTAGGAACTTAGAAAAATAATTCTATGTGTATTCAGCTACTGTTTAACTAATGCTGCGTGCATTGAGAGCTGAAAATACAAATTGAGACACGTTTTCAGTACATATAAACCATAATTTAGATTCCGCAAAAGAGCTCGAAGCACTGGAAGCGGAAGTTGCAAGTGTCATTCGGCAAGTAGCTGTGTGGACCATGGAGCTGGAGGAGGTGAACGCGAATCGGCTGCAGATCGAGGTGAGGCCAAAATATCAACTCAAAGCTCAGCATTAAATATTCACATGTCGCCGCAAGCCATAAGAAGATCACACCGTAAAATCAGTGGCAGATTCAAATTTTGTGGGATATTTCCAAGAACATTTAGCTTATTTGGAAAATTTGCCCAGCTGCTTATGTGGAATAGGTGGTTACAAAAAGTCACCCACTGAAGTAGCCAAAATGGTCGTTTCAAGCGCGGAGACTCATAGGCAGCAGCCGCGTGGCGACCGCAGTGATTACATTACAAATGTAAATTGCGCGTGCATAAACTTCTGATAAGATTGTGAAGCATTAAGATGCAAATACATAAAAAAAAGGTTGAGCAAAGAGTTCAAAAAAAACTAGAATTTTTTTGCTTTCAAAGATTTTTTTTCAGATTCGCTTCCTTCAACTCGGTTCAGAGCTCAAAAAGAGCGTGACATGTGTCCAACTAGCCTCGATCGACTTTGAACTGATCCAACTCCGACATAATGAGCGTTGGAGACGCTTTCTTGCCGACCACGTACCATCTGACAAATTACTCACACTAGCCAAAGTACCTTCATAATTGTCAGCAGCTCAGAGAGGGAAGTTCCTGCTTTGTGTGTCGTCGTCTACTGTCCCGTCTGGGTTCTTGTAGTACTTCGCTGCTCGTCAGCACTAATTAGGGTATCAATTTATCAATAGCCATAATTAGGTAACAAATCTACTACTAGCCATTATTCAACAAAATCAGATCTGAAATCATTATGTCCTGTTCTTTCCTATGTAATGATTCGTAAGAAGTGCTTCCAAAGCAAGACTTCAAAACTTTAGGATTGCCATCATTTCAAGTGTTTCTGTCAATTGGTGATAAATATGCATATCGTTTGTAGAATGATTGCTTAGTTCTGATATATGAATCAAAGGAAGATAGTATGATGTTTGGCAGTGCAATCTTCCTTCAATGTATGTGGAATTGTGAAGCAAAGAAAATAAATATAATCTCATTTTGTAAGCTGCTGTCTTGCCTGAATTTCAACAAGATTCGTGTGCGACGAATGTGCGTTGTACCTAGCGTCACGCCACAAAAAAATACAGTCTAAATAGACTATAGTCTAATTCATTTGCGAATGATAGTGTTATTGCACTGCCGACAACAACTGGGCGTAAAAATTAGCCATCCTATGCAAAGCTCAGTGCGCGCAATGTACTCTTCTCAGGTACGCGCCATACTTGATCCGCTTAATCCGGTTCATCAATGTCAATTTAGTGAGCTGACCAATAGTGAAGCGGATGAAGTGAATCAAGCTGATCAAATTGGACAGCCGCTTCGCTATTGGTCAGTTCACCTAATTGACCAATGACGAATGGATCAAGCGGATCAAGTATGGCGCTGCCTCACGTGTAAAGATTGTTGCAGAGACACCATAATTGTAGGACAATAATTACCTTGAGCTTCCTTAAAGTCACAGACTTCTTATTTCGTACAAATCTTTTAATAGATGTGACACAATGTTGGGTGCACCATTGCCTTATCCCATGCGTACTCCTGTCCCATAGACAAGAGAAGAAAAAGAGCTCTCGTCATTATACGCATCAAATAAGGTTATTAGTAATTACTGATCAAGAACAATGTAACAATCACAAAAGGCGATGCATCTGTGTTCGGTTCTCAACCTTCATATTGAGAGTAAGTATGCTCTTCAACCTCTCGCCCATTGCAGGATCACACTGAGGGCGATTAGAGTATTCCGGACTTTCTTCCCAATTGCTGAAGGAGTGAGCCAATGCTGGATTGTTCCAAAACAAATACTAATAATTGACGTTTGCGAGCACAAGCATGACCAACCTCCCACGAGAACTAGTGGAAGATTCTGCACATTTGCTAATGGCATGACCTGCTGTGACAGTGTAGTATAGAAGAAAGGCAAACTATTAACCTAATAAAAGAATTTTTTGAGATAATGTCGTCAAAAGAGAACATTTATTCGCATTCCGGTTTCGGGGCTAAGAACTATACCGGTCATGCGACTTTCTTGGTGCAACTCATCAGTAGTTCCCAAGGAAATGTAAAAGGTAAATAAAATAGAATGTATTGAAATATATTCGAACCCAGTAGATCTTAGTGGCATGAGAAGAAAATGATATGTTCAAGGACCATGGCAACTACCAAGTTTTGGCGCCAACAAATGCCGCCTGTCACTAGTCCATGTTGTCAACCCATGTTTTTCGCACCTCATGAATAAGTGGAAGATGCACACTAGTAATAAAACCGTATTTACGTAAATTATAAGGGCGATGATACATAGTATTGAATATGACTTCATATAAAATACTGAGACTCCAACCACTGTACATCGAGGTTCTAACCAGTTCTAAAACTCTACGTCTGAAGTCTATATACTTACTAGGGAAGGATGGTTTGTCGAAGTGGCCTTTTGAGATGATTTGTGTACCATAGTGGATGGCATAAAACGTTGATTCCAAATCCATCTTTCTTATCTGCGGCGCATTCCTAGAAGAGGAGTTATGAGCGTTTGAAGGAGCAAAAAATGAGTGTTTTTCTGGGATAAAAACATTGGCTAAAATTTTCCCAGCGCTTGAATGAGACAGCCGGAGTGTGGATATATCTTACCTTAGAGTATTTATTTTATAGAGTGTTGGAAAGATTACCACTGGCCCATTTAAGCGCTAGGAATAATGTTATTACTGTTTTTATGTTATTTGCACATTCATTTTTTTCTCCAATAAACTCTCACAAATTCTTGTGCAGGAACGCGCCGCAGATAAGAAAGATGGATTTGGAATCAACGTTTTATGCCCTCCACTATGGTATACAAGTCATCGCAAAAAGCCACTTCGACTGACCATCCTTCCCTTGTTAGAGCTATTTCTGTATATTCTTGAGACCTCAGAAGCGTATTGAATAATATGTGGCGAGATATATTGGACTTCCAGTTTGGATATCTAGTTACTCTAAAGTTATAATTATCTGTCTTATTGTATAGACTTTATCAATAGTTATTGTAAGATCCAAGAAATTATTCACTCCAACACTAATGGATGTAGTTTCTATATCTAAAGTGGGGTCGGTATATTTCTTTGAGGCTATCTATAAAATGAGATGCAATGGTTGATATGTAGTATGTCATCTATATGTATATCTGTAGGTATGTTGGTACAAAAATACAATGTACTTCTTCTCCACTATCTGTCTTCTAATGAAAGTATATTCCATGTAAGCTAGCGTAAGATCTGCCATTTGTAGACTACAAGATGCTCCTTATGGAATTCCTTTAATCTGTTTATATATTCTTCCACCAAAGTATAAATAACTGGCATTCAAAATTGAGTCTATCATGTAAACTATGTCCTCTATCTGGTAGTACCTGCCTTTTGCTCTATCTTCATTTGTATATGACACTCTAGACTGATACAGCCTCAAATATTTAAATTCCCTCATGCACATAGTAATTATTTCGAGACTATTCCCAAGTACATTATGTGACAGACTAATAAACAGGCTAGAGAAGTCTGCAGAATATACCTCCAGATTCCCTTTAAGACTTCCCACTTCTTCCACTACCTGTTTAGTATTTTCTATCTCCCAAAAATGTTTGATATTATTTCTTAGCCTAATAACTTGAATTGATTTTGAAAGTGTCTACGAAAATGTGACAATATTAACTGTATAATGTTTGTCAAAGGTTTCAGTGTACTTCTTTTTGCACCTGTAATATATCTAAACTTTATGAGATTCTTATGCATTTTAGGTATACCATAAATTCTAGGTATTTCCAAACTATCATTGTCATTTTTTATGTTAAGTCGATTCAGAATACTGTTATGGGTTCTAATAACATCCTCTTCTTGTCCGTGCACACATATGTGTAACCGCCTGCGCCTGATTGCTCCATTTCTTTTTTCATCATTGTTACATATGGTTTTTTGCAGGTGAAACTAAAGTTGGAGCTAGCCTTATTCATAGGTGTAATCACAAAGTATTTCTGTAAGCTCCTTAGGTAGTAATCTCGATTATGACTTCACTTTCGACCAAGCCTTTGTCGTATAAGTCAAATAGTTTAGATTTAACTCGTTTTTTGAAATAGTTTTGTAACTGTGCTGTAACATTTTGTTCAATTTCAGCATTTGTTCTAGTTTTCTTGAATATTTTCGAGACCAAATCTTGGACCAAAGTGTGTAGGATTTGCAGTACATCCTGTTTTGTGATAATTCCATGTGTGCGGTACTTTGTACCTTTTTCCAGCAGCTTTCTAAGTTTAATATCATGTATTACAGGGTGCGGCAAAAGTCTGGGAGCCTAAATTCGCAGTATTGCAATTACAAAGATACTGATGGTTTTGATTTCAATTTTATGCCACATGATGCTGCGGTCATTCTCTACAGAATACACCTTATTTGGCTGGAAATGGCTGCCATATGTTTTTGTAAGAATGGAAATTACCAAACTAGTATTTTTACAAGCGAAAAAACCAAAATTTTTGGTATTTACAATTTTTGCTGTAACTAGAGATGCTGTTAATATTTTACAAAACTTCGATGCAAACAACATAGAAGAGGCTTTGCGCTATGGTATCCTAGTTTTGCTTTTGCCAGGAGCTGTTCTTGCATGAACGGAAAATAAAAGTTTGCGAATGTTGCCTACGTGCCAGTGGAAATCCGTCTTTAGAATAAATTTAAAAGCTATAGAATGCTCAACAGACATTGAGACCAAGGCTGTATTTTTTGCATACGTCTTCTAAATTAGAATCTATTGAAATTCGGCCATGGGAACAATTTTTATACTTTTTAAACGATATTTTCAAGTTCTTATTCGCGCAATAGTAGCCAAAATTCCGGTATGCGACGTACACATTTTTCTAATTGAAAATCCATCATTTTTATTGCTAAGCAATGCAAAAAATGGAAGTATGTTGTAAAGAAAAGTTTGCATTATCACGCTGCGCATTTGCCAAGGTAAAATAAGCGTTATTGCGAAGGCGTGGGGCGAATCCCATTATGAGTACCTGCGTGCCATGACATGTGGACTTGCCAAGATTTTGTAGGGCTGCGTGGGAGGCAAAAGAGGCAGCTTTGCAAATCAAGAACTGGGCTGTATCTGCAATGGCTCCAATTATATGTGCGCCAAATTTTTCGCTTCTAGGTACTTCCTTTCTCGTTTTGTACGAAAAAGTACTAGGCTCCCAGACTTTTGCCGCACCCTGTATTTCCATGTTACCAGTGCATTTGTGATGGAGGTTGCTATCAATATTGCTTTTCTATATCTTTGATCAAGAAACTATTGTAATTATTAATTTGTAACCCTAAAGGGTTAGTAAGTTTATATCTAATAACAATCTCCATATTTTCCAACATGTTAGATTGTTCTATGTGTTGCATCAAAATTCTTTTGAAGTTGATACCGGTGCATACCTTTTTTAATTTGAGTTTATCCACAATTTCTCCCATATATGGTACAATTACCGTAAGGTGTTCCTTTGCTATTTTGGCCTTAGTTACCTTTCTCCAGAACGGTGTTGCTATCACAGCTAATATTTTATATTTATGTTCAAAGCTAAGATTGCAAAATGAGTTCGCGAAGGCGAAATCTATGATATTTATATCGTATTTATTTAAGGTTCTAAAATAAATATATAGGGCATTGCTATTCAATTCATTTACTCTATTAACAATATATTCTGTTCTACCTTCGCATATACTCTTCTTTCTTGACCTTCTTTTCTTCACTCTCCGCCTCTCATGGAACACAGGATGTTTGAAGAATGGATGCCCTTCTTTTTCCAATAGATTTATCAAATCCGATACATTTCCATAGCCTTTTATTTGGTCATTGAAACCAAATGGGTAGGCGCTAATAAGGAGTTTGATCCAGTATGATTCCTTTTCCCTTAGGTTGATTTTGTAACTTTCGTTAGCATAGGTATAGTCTAGAATATCAAACCTTAAAGTTCTCTGGATTATGT